CGCTCAGGCTGCAGTATCCAAAGGTTCACCCTCACCGGATCCCCGTCCGCGTACGCAGCCCTCACCGTCTTGAACCGCGTCTCCTCCTCCGTCACCGCACTCGTCCTCATATACGACATCGACACCGACGGCGACGAGGACGAATGCGCCCAAGCCTTCGATCACTTGATGTCCTTCTTGATCGTCCCCGACCCCGACCCCAACACTGCCGCGGCCACGACGACTGCCCTAGGGCCGCATCTATCCGAGATCCACGTAGGGTGCCGCAACGGTACCTACATCGACCACGATCTTTATCTCATGATGCTGCAATCTCGCTGTAGGGCAGGGAATTTGAAATGCAGACTCAAGGCCGCCACGCTTCTCACGCATCTAGGTATGGGACCAAGCGGGACGACGCTGGACGGGCTGGAGACACTCCGCCGGGACGGGTTGGATATACTTCTAATGGAGGGTCGGGATGCGTTAATTGGCATCAAGGGGTGGACGTATAGCTCGGGCTGGAACTAAGTCCGCCGTTGCCTTACGAACGGCTGGATTTGGGATCCGTAATTGTGAACGGAGCGAACAAAATAGGTTTCCGGAGGTAAGAGACTGGATAGAGAACCCAGACCGTGACGTATTTCGTTACTCTCATACGAAGGGGTACATATGTTTTTGGTTGGGCAGATTGTTCTTTTAGATACCTGCTTTACAATTGGAATACTAAATTGAGCTGCAAGTAGCCTGACGCCGCTCCACTTGTGCAACCATGGAGTCGGAATCTCGAGAATTCGTGTAGTTCTTATGCACATTCTCTTCAAGACTAGTCTTTAGCTTTGCGCGTTATACATACAATGTGTTCTATACGGTACGAATCGACATGTTCTGTTCTGGTGCACATCTACCTACTACAGGCACTCCCGGCCGGGATTACCATCTACGCGGTGATGCAGTAATCATCTCCAATGCCCGCCCTCGAGCACGTCGAACGACACCGCATAATGCAAACGCGCTGAGGCGGGAGGGGGCGTGGGGGGGGGGGGGGGCAGGGATGTCGGACGATCGGGAGGACTCTCCATGGCATGGCTTCAGAGGGCCGCTCCGCCCCTCACTGCGTACATCTAGACGCGCATGCGGGTACCGGTACCGGTACCGCTCTGCGTCGCGCGGCTTCTCAGTCCGCCGACGCCGAGCAGCACGGGCGGCACGCACACGCCCGGTTCGCCAGATGTTGCGTGCGTCATGCGCGTCGCCGAGCAAGGGGTAGGGTGCGCGGGTCATGTAGGGCTCAGGCGCGTCTCCGCCCCTCGCGACATCTGCGGTGCAGAGGAGACGAGAAGGCGAATCAAGCAGCACGGGGGCGTACCGCGTATTTCGTCGTCCTCGAACCCGCGCCGCTTTCCAGCCGCCAGTGAAGGGGTTTAAGAGCCGCCACGTCGTCGTGCGTGGACGGGCTCCAGCGCCGTCTGACACCGGCCTGCGCTCTTGAGTTTCACGATCCTCACCCGCGCGCCGCGTCGTCGAGCAACCGGGTGACGTCGTTCTTGGTCGAGGCGCCCCACTGCGTCGCCGTCGCCGTCGTCCTGGCTCCCCGACCTGCGCTCCTGGTTCCGGAATCTAATCTTGAAATTCGGCCGGCACCCCCTCCAGCGTCCCCGCACCCAGAAACGCGAATGCGAACGCGACGTCGAGCAGCGCGCGGGCATACCACGTACACCCATGCCGGAGGAGGTTACGAGCACCGCTACATCGTCGTGCGTGGAGGGGCTTCAGCGCCGTCTGACACCGGCCTGTGCTCTTGAGTTTCGGAGTCACCCGCGCAACGCGTGGTCAAGCTGGCGGGGCACGTCAGTCCCAGAAGAGGCGCCCCACTGCGCCGCTGTCGTCGTCCTGTCTACCCTGCGCTCCCTTCCGGAGTCTTGATCCTCGGCCCTCTCCTGCTCTGCTGGCGCCCCTAGGCCATGCCCGCGAACGCAAACGCGAATGCGACGTCGAGAAGCGCGGGGTCGTACCCCGTACGCCCATCCATACCCACGGACGCCGAAGGGGCTTACAAACCACCATCTTCAGAGTGTCGTAGTCCTCGCCCTCCCCCACAAACGCGGCGCGGGGTCGTTCTCGGTAGATGGCGCCCACTGCGTCGCCGTCGCCGGCGCCGTCCCGCCCCCCGGACCTGCGCTCCTGCCTTCCGGAATCTTGATCCCCAGTACCCCGCCCCCGTGCCCGCGCCCACGAACGCGAACGCGACGTCGAGCAGCATGGGGTCGTACCACGTACGCCGATGGACGCCGACGTCCTCGAACCCGTGCTGCTTTCCAGCCGCTGGGGAAGGGGCTTAAAAGCGCCGCCACGTCGTCTTGCACCGACGCGTCCTCTTCCAAGTTTCATTGTCCTGCCTCTTCTGCGGACTCCGTCCCCGCGAACGCGTCGTCGAGCAGCTGGGGCACGTCGTCCTCGGTCGAGGCGCCCCACTTCGTCGTCATCTTATGCAGGTCTTCGCCTGTATCGGATTCTTCACGCCCTCCGACACGAACGCGGCGCGGGGTCGTTCCTGGTAGATGGCGTTCCTGGTAGATGGCGTCAATCAAAAGGGCGCCACGTCGTCATCGTCCCGCCCCGACCCGCGCTGTGCTCCCGACTTCCGGAGTCGTGATCCTCGGCCCTCTGCTGCTGATCCCCGCGAACGTCGTGCAGCAGCAGAGCGAGCGGGCCGCGTCGTGCATGCTGTATGCTATATGCTGCACGCGTACAGCGCCTACCGCCGACTCTCGAGGTCCGGGGCATTCAGGGGCGGCCAATGTGGGTGGGCGTCGTGCACCGAGGCGCTGCGGTAGATACTGTAGATCTCCGGAGCTGCGCGTCCGCGTCGTCGCGCGCCAACGGAGGCTAGATGGGGTTCGCGCGGGTCGGGTAAAAAGGGGGTGAATGGACGGAGTAGGCGAAGGGGGAGGAGGGAAAAGGGCAAGGGCGAAGGGCGACACGTGAAGGAAGAAAGAAGGAATGAAGTGGGAAGTAAGCTAGCATGGAGTGACATGGGATGCTTGGAGGGTCGTTGTCGAAGGAAAGAAGAGGGGCGGGAGGTATAGGGTGAGGGCATTGGGGAGTAGACGAGGGAAGGAGGCAGAAGGGGTGGGCAACGAACATGTCTGCCCCTTCTGTTCGTATTACTGTAACATGATTTGGTTAGTATACGTGCAGAAAGTGGGGGAGGGGGTGAAGGAAGCTAGGAGGACGACATTGAGCGCAGGAAGGGAACGCAGATAGTAAAGGGGAGAGGAAAGTGGCTGGCATGAAGAGAGAGGTGGCTACGAAGTGGCTGACATGGAGGAAAGCATGAAACGTTGAAAATGGGCACAGGGGAGGAAGATGGCTGACGGGAAAGGGATGGAGGGTGGCTGACGGGATCGGTGCAGTGGGGGACGACGATAACACGAAGGCCAACACGAATACTCACATCTAGATATCCTCTGCGCCCAAAAAGCGGCGTGCCATCGATTCGACGATCCCGGCGGCGGGCGGGTTGAAGAAGCATCGGCTTATCCCAGACTAGTCCGTCTAGTAATGCTGGGTCCGCAATGAGAATCAGGCATTTGCGAGGACACCGTCCTGTTATACGAAATTGGCGTGCGCTTGTACATATTCCACTTGGTTAGCGTACTGGACCTGCACACAGTAATCTCCTCGTCCAAGGAGTGTCTTCGCTGTGGGCTCCTGCAGTGCTCGCATCGTATTTTGCGAGGCATTGTCGGCGGACCATGGCCGTGTCTGCTTGATTAGAGGCGATTCATGTGGAATCAATGTGGAATGCCCGAGGGTGCGTGACGCAGACAAACTTCGGGAGGCTGACGGTCTCATATGCGAGTCGTTCTGGACTGGGTTTGTCTTGACATCGTCCTTGTCGTCCGCAAAACTTTCGAAGGCGGACCGGATGTGTTTGGGATGTGTGGGAAAATCCTTCTTCAACGCGATCACATGACTCGCCTTCACCGAGCGCGCGAAACCAATACGTTCAATCCAACTCTGAGGATACAGATAAAAAGGAACCGGTGGTAGATGATGCGCGCGCAGTTCAGATGTTACATTTGTACACACGCGCAAAGCTTCTGGTTCAATTCCAGACTGGTTCGTAAGGGAGACAAGATCAATTTTTTTACGTTCATGTAACTACGCCTCATCCCACCGTACCCACATACTTGGACGAAAATTAAAATAGAATAAACAGACCCGGCAGCGCATGGTGCGCCTCTGCTCCTGATACCCCATCGCAACGTCTGAGTTATAATGCAGGTGTTCTTGGTTCGATTCCTGGCTGGGTTATGAGTAGCATTCTTCGCAGTTTCCTTTTTGCTTCTCGGATCGATCCCCTTTGATTTACGAGTAAAAGAGTCCATCTTATTACACACTACTCAAACTGTCGAAAGCTTCACCATTTACATTCTAATCCCGCACTTTATTCCCTTATTTTAAATTCAAGTGCCCACCCTCATTCTCCTTATCGCCCACTTATCCACAAAATAGAGAATGAACCGGAAGTAGACGGTGCACCGCTATGCATGCTCTCATGCGCTTCTAGTTAATGATCGATGCCAGGCTGGCTCGTGAAATACAAGGCAGGATCGATCTTTATAATTGTCAACGCCTGATCCCACCGCGTTCAGCTCTACCTACTTAATACCCACCTACTTGGACAATAATTGAAATGGAATAAATAGACCCAGCAGCGCATGGTGCGCCCCTGCTCCTGATACCCCATCGAAATTGTTGTTCATAATGCAGGTGTTCTTGGTTCGATTCCAGGCTGGGTCATGATAACGCTTTCCGTTCCTATTTTTATTCGAAGAGCCAAAGAATTAACCCTCCTACACACTCCTCAGGTTTTATACCTCCTGTCGAAAGCTTCACCGTTTACATTCCAAAAGCGTCACTCGCTCCGTCGTATCTCTTTACCCCCTTGTTTCTGGTGACCACCCCGATTTTCTGTCTCACCCACTTATCCATGAAATAGATATCAAATGACAGACTCGGTAGCGCGTGGTGTGCATCTGCAACATGTTATCACTAATAGTATGGTGATGCAGACAATCCTGGTTCGATTCCAGGCCGAGTCATCAGAAGCAAGGTAGTGAGTTTTTTACTCAGTCCTGTTTCATTCAACCAAGGCCTTTTGAATTTTATCGTGTTTGTCAGAATGGATTTACTCACAACACACCCCCGGGCCAGAGGTGCGACAATCACTTCTAGTTCTGGTCCGGGATGGAATCTACCAAGTTCACCTTTTTTTTCATTCTGACTATCACACTACGCATTTCTCGCCCCCACTTATTATATTGATTGGTACCGTGACATGTGTGCCTCTGGACTAGAAAAGAGGAACCAGACCCAGCAGCGCGTGGTGTGCCTCTGCTTCCTCTGTATTGGCGGAGAGATTCATGCAGATGCTTTCCTGGTTCGATTCCAGGCTGGGTCATAATTACAAGCATTTTCTCGGATGTCCTTTTCAAGCGACGAAGGCATTATCATTTATTCTCCTCAAATGAACCCACGGATCGGATTCTCGCTCTGTCCACGCCCGAAGCGCCGCCGTTTGAACTCGACTGGTCAGTGAAATACAACAGCATTGGGAATAAGGGAAGCAGACCCAGCAGCGCATGGTGCGCCTCTGCTTTAAATTCTTCTTTCATGATGGAATAGTTCCATGCGGATGCTTTCCTGGTTCGATGCCAGGCTGGGTCATGCTGACGCCCGCTTGTACTTTTTCTTTTTCAGAATTCCTACTACCTTGTTTTTTTTTTTTTTTTTTTTTTTTTTTGGTGGTACGATAGGACCACCAGACAATTAACAAGGTTAACTTCTGGAAGTCGCGTAAAAATGGAGGACACAGGGACCTCCGTAAGAGTGAGTGTTTCCACCCCTGAGGAAATGCTTTATGCACAGGTAAAAACCATGTGTGGGACTCCGCGCCTTTATCTATTCCGTCCCCTGCGGCCAACAGGTGGAGACGGCGGTCTTAACGACCTCTTAGGAGCGATACCCACTAAAACCTCAGGTCCTCTAAGCCAGTCGTCTGGCAGTTTATTTTTGTCCTTAAGGACTGCCTTCCATGTTTCGAGGACTAGGGAAGGTGCAACGTAGTATTGCTTTCCGAATTTTAATTTATCAGTGAGCCGTCGGTCAATTTCAATTCGTTCATTTATGGCATGGATCCATCTGTTGTGGATCTCCTGCTCCGACGCTGGCTCGCCGTCCCTTCCGATAACCCGCTCACACCTTAGCTTCCATATGAGATGCAGTGATTCTGTAATCACAATTGTATAGAGTCGGGTTCGGGCCGGTGATCGTTTATTATTTTCATCGCGGAATTCGGCGAGGCCACACCCAAGGATTCCCCCGAGTGAAAGATCAGGCCAGGCCAGTCCTGTGCTTGCCCATAGCTCCTGAAGCGCTGGGTCCAGGTGCACGTGTGAAAGCAGTAATCCAACCACCAACAACACACACAACCAAACCAAGGCGCATGAGTTCGGGGCTCCATGTGAAGTATACACATGTTGCAACCCAGACGATGAGCATCGAACGCTGCAACGTAAGAGCTTGGGCAATAAATAAGTGTTGAGGCGGCGCGACCAGCACACCGCCGAATATGTTGCGTAATTGTTGTAGAAACCAACTCCGTCGACTCTTCATCAAACAAATCTCCTCCACCAACACGTCCTCCAACCAGTTCCACCTTCTGAGCACCAATCCAACCCATAACCAAACTGTCAATCCCAACAAAATCCTTCCACCACATAACCGAAACCGTGCCAAAGAAACCCAGAACGCTCCTGCTGCGGGTCGGCCCATATAAGGTGCGCGACGATCCATAGTTGAGCAGGGTACTGGGGTCTTGGACTGAAAGAGCCAGAACCAGAAAAGAAATTAAAGTCGAATCAAAGCAAAAGGAGGAGTAGATGGGGGTCTTATTGTCTATTTCGCTAGTACATTTCGCGTCCCTTTTATACCTCTACTGTTTGTATCTGACAAATAATAATCTACAAGTGCAAACCTGGTATCCGAAACCTCAGTTGCTAAGTTTCGACGTTCGCCCTGACACTAGTTCCCATGTTAAGGCCTATCCTGTGCATCCCCATGGTTGTTTCCTTGGATACAGGGCTGTACCCAGTCCCCATAACACCTCCTTGCCCATAAACTGTCTGTTGCCGCGCTACAACTTGACCACCGTCGCGTCCGAGACGCGTTTGATCCCAAACGCGTCGCAATCACGAGGTCACGTGACGGTTTGTACGAACTCCGCGGATACTTTCTCGGCGGTCCCTTGGTGCACAGGTGAGTGGCGTTCAGTGCCTCAGCTTCTTCTACGTGACTATGGCAACTTGAAAAGGTTGCCGGCCCCTCGGGTCAACCTCCCTCTCCAGCCTACGAGCCTCGAGGCACAGGAATTGCCTGCTTCGGGTGATTTCCAAGCACGTAAAATCACCCCGCTCATCACTCCTTAGCCAGATTCCAGACAATGTCTTGGCCAGGACAGGTACATTTCAGTACAATATGCTCGAGACTCTCTGTCTCATTGCACTTATCGCATGTTTCACGGTCTTCGCATTCGGGGATGTTTCGCCAAAATTTACCAATCCGGAGTGCACCATGCATGCTCTTCCAAAAGAAGGTTCTTATCTGCCGAGTAATGTCTTTGTGTTTTATTGATCTCCAGATTGCAGCGGCTGTCGGCGTACGTTTGGAGTTCAACTTCACTGCTAGTTGGACTGCCCCAATATTTTCATTGGTTGCCTTCCTGGAAACCTTTGCCCGTAGTGACTTTATGGTTCTATATGCAATTGCCTGTGTCATGCCTGCTAATTTTGCCCCACGGAGCTCAGTCTCCGGGTGTGCAGTCATTTCAATCAAGTCGGGAGTTTGTTTCTGTGTCCCTGCTATTGCAAGAGTGTGCGCTGCAAGCACTCCGGCTTTCTCTTCCTCACCGTTTGCCTGGGAGAAGACTGTCAGGGCAGTCCTAGCTCGGAGGGTTGACAGTAGGGCCTTGAGAGGCTCTCTATCCCGAGTGTCGAACCAACCACGGTCCTCCCACTTCGGTATGTCTCTGATATTTTTAAACATAGTATCACGATTGCTAATTATATGTAGTTCTCTGTTGAGTGGTGATTGACGCACTCCAACCAGGGCACCTAGTAATTCCGCACTTCGGGTGGTTTGATCCAGAGTCTCCGGAGCTCTTAAAGATCGGTTCCTAGGGTCATCTTCAATGTAGTATACCCCGGCACCAGCTATCGCATCTGCTTCCCCACCCTTGAGGTTCGCAGCACTTATGTGTATTTTTATTGGTCCAAGCCCTGGGTTTATTGTTGGCTGTACAGGTAATTCTAGCTGCCCCTCTGGTACTCCTTTTACCTTGGTAAATATTCGGAAGCCCTCTGTCAGGCTTGTTATTTGGGCTGAGTCTTTGAAGGGGATTTTTGCCTCCAGGTTTTCAACAAGAGGAATTTCCAGGCGGTTGTGGTGTGTCCTTGGGTCCCATTTAGGTAGCAACTCATAGAGTCGCTTTTTTGCTGCCATGGGACATGCATGTGGGTTGGGGCATTTCTTGGATATCCGGTCCATGGTGCAGTCATTGCATCCACAGGTTTTTACTGGATCGTGGTCATCCTTGTCAAGACGAGCCATTATTAAGACTGCATCACCTACTGTATGTGCTCTATGTCGGTTCCGTAGGCATTTGCACTGATTTTTGTTGTTTAGTTGCCGCTTTGTTGTGTCTTCACCGAAGTGGTGCCACAGAGGTAATTTTTCCCGGATTGCGACAGATGGAGATGGTGTGTCAAAACTTACACCATATTTTCGTGCTGTGTTCACCATATCCTTTAGGTGTTGGGGTAGCTTGTGGCGCCGGGGAGACCATTTCTGGGTGAACATGTTTAGGTGTGAGCCTTTTTGGACTTTGGAGCTTTTCATGTCCAATCTGGCAAGACGTGCATCTGTTGCATACGTCCATGTCGGCCTCTTCTGCAGGTCTAGTTCGAGGTAAGATTTGAGCCTCATCAGGTGTAGTGCCTCATTCCTGGCTGTCAAGTCAAACATATTTTTTCCTCCCTCGAGGATAGGTGCCATCAACATGTCCCTTTGGACTGGGGACGACTTTGCACCTGCCCACATAAACTCTCTCTGAGCTTTTATCAGCTGTTTCTCGACTGATTTTGGCATACCGTTTACCTGTGCAAGGTACTGGGTCATTGAACCGAAGGTAATTTGTGCAATGTGCCTTCGTGCTTCCAGCGTCGGGTGGCCACGGTCCCATCTCTCTGTGGTCGTGTCAATTTTTTCAATGGTGGGAGTCCATATTGTCTGGCAATCGACTCCATTGCCGACACGTGCCCCCAAAATTCGTATTGACTCACCCTGTTTCGCAATATTTATATGGGCTGGTATCGGGTCGTCATCTTCATTGAGGCGTCTCGTCTCAATGAGGCGTTGGCGGTAGTTTGCAGTACCAATTGGGATTATTTCTGTCTTGCTGACGTTAAACTTCGCGCTCGATGCGCTGCACCATTTGTCTAGAATTTGCTGGACATCTGCAAAATTGTCAAACCTTGATAGGTATAGAGTCGTATCATCTGCAAAGAGTGTGGTTATGACGCGCTCTGCGAGTTTAGGGAGTCGCTGGCCTCGAAGGTCCGATTTTCGCATCATCTGTGCAAGGGGTTCTATTGCCAAATTAAATAGGAGGCAAGACAAGGGGTCACCCTGTCGTACCCCTCTAGTGACTTTGAACTTAGTGCTTAATACACCATTTATAACGACCTGTGTTTCAGCATCTGAATAAAGTGCCTGAATGGTTCTTACAAAGCTCTCTGGGAAGCCATCGTGTCTCAGGACCTCCCACAGGTACATGTGGGATGTTTTATCATATGCTTTCTCCTGATCTAGGGCAACTATCGCTCCATTTTGTAATTCTTCCTCTGCATATTCAACTATCTCCAATGCCAGATATATTTGGTCGGCAATCTTTCTCCCTTTCATGAACCCAGCTTGATCTGGATGTATGAGGTATGGTGCGACATCGGAAAGTTTGAAGGTAAGTGCTTTTGTAAAAATTTTGTAG